GTACGTTGAAGATATATTTAAGTGAAAAGTTGATAGGATATACAACTTTTGATGCTCTTTCCAATGATATATAGAGCGTTATTGCACGTTGTGCCGTTTTTTGAGAAATTTAGTAAAAAAACACGACATAACCGAGATTTGAGCTCACAGCTATATATGGTCTTTGCTCAGACAGTATACGAACAGGCGGGGATACCTCCCATAGAAGGATGCGATTTAATGCTAAATATTATATTAGCGGCCGGCCGCCGTGGGCACGTTTTTGTACGACTTATATCTCCGCAACCACTGGACCGATACACTTGCGGTTTTTTGTGTGGGGTAGCTTATACCCTTCTTACAAGTATTTTACTACGCACGATGCGTGCAGGTGACCCCTACTGCACGTGACACGTGTAAAACGGACAGGTGTCACTTTTGTTGTTATGACAATAACACGGTAAGTGCTGGACTGATTGCGCTGAAACTTAACAAGGTTGTAGGCACACACCGAACCATGCGTTTCCATGTGCTACGGTTGGGGTGCAACTGCACGTGCGCACGTGCAGGGTGACGCTTCCAGATCTCGAGAACGGCCGGGCCGATTGAGTTCAAATTTGGTACACCGCTAGAGACCGGTTAGTAGGGTGCCGTGCGCAAGTCAGATAGGACCCATCTTGCACGTGCGCACGTGCAGGGTGACGCTTCCAGATCTCAACAACGGCTGGACCGATTGCACTCAAATTCGGCACACCTCTAGAGACCGATTAGTATGGTGCCGTGCACAAGTCAGTTCGTATGTATTTCCATGTGCTAGGGTTGGGGTGCAACTGCACGTGCGCACGTGCAGGGTGACGCTTCCAGATCTCGAGAACGGCTGGGCCGATTGAGCTCAAATTTGGTACACCGCTAGAGACCGGCGAATAGGGTCCCATGCACAAGTCAGTTGGACACAGCTTGCACGTGCGCACGTGCAGTGTGACGCTTCCGGATCTCGAAAATAGCCGTGCCGATTGCACTCAAATTTGGCACACCGCTATAGGCTGGCGAATAGGGTGCCGTGCACGTCAGTCCGTAGCACACCGACTCCGGTCTGTATAACCGCAGGTTGTTTGAAAAGACAAACACTATTCGTTAGAATTGTGTTTTTCTATTGAAAAACAACCGGAGCAGTCGTTCATCGGGCTATGTTTTGCATGTCTGGCCGCGGATTGGGGCACCTTGCTACCTGCCCAAACTACTGCAACGATTTTCGTAAAAATTTCAGAGCATGGGCTCGCGGAGGCGATCTAGCTGCTGGTACCGGTCGCTACTCGCTCAGAATTCTTTTGCGCGTGGCACGTGCGTTTCCATTTTCCCCATGTTAAGTCAATGGGGGTTTGGGGCTTTTTTTGCGCCATCGCTAATGGCGGAAAAACGAGCCAAGAAAGGGGTGGTTTTCTTCCAGGCATTTAATGGCAAACACGTTCCGGTACACGCCAGTGTGCGCCGTTTACCCGTCAGAATCTCGGAACGTTTCTTTGCACGAGGTCAAAGTTGGAATTTTGTTGTGTCCCATGTTAAGTGAATGGACAATTTTGCAGAGCTATTTTCATTCGTGCATTGTAAAACATTATGTGTCACGATTTCGTCCAAACATTCGAGAGTTGTTGAGGAAGGAACATAGTATATGCTGTTGTGCTTCGTTAAGCTGAGCAAAATCGTTTTTTTTTTCTTTTAAAGCTTGTTTAAAAATGACAATTTTTAACATGGAAAGTCAATGAGAGCGTCTTTGTTTCTTAATAACTTTTTACGTTGCGACTGTATACAAATGAAAAGTTAATACAACATACAACTTTCGATGCTCTTTCCAACGATGCATAGAATGTCACTGCAAGATGTGCCGTTTTTAAGAAAAGTTGTACAAAAGCATGGCTCGACTGTGACTTGAACCCAACCACATTAGAGTATACGAACAGGTGACGGGGATACCTCCCGTGTGCGGATGCGACGCTGATTATTGCTAAATATTAGCAGTCGGCCGTTGCGGAGGCGCCTTTGCACAGGTTATAGCTCAACAACTGCTTGACCGATTCACTCGCGAGTCGCGGTCTTTTGTGTGGGATAGCTTCTTCCTTTCTCACACGTAGTGTGCTACTCTCGATACGTATGGGTGACCCCTAATGCACGTGCCACGTGCAAAACGAAGAGGTGTCAGTTCGGTAGCAAGTGTAATAACTCTGTAGTTATTTTGCCGATTGCGCTGATCCTTGGCATGGATGTAGGCACCCGCCCCGCAATGCATTTCCATGTGTCACGGTTGGGGTGCCGCTGCACGTGCGCACGGGCAGGGTGACGCTTCCAGATCTCGAGAACGGCTGGGCCGATTGTGATCAAAGTTGGCACACCGTTAGGGCTCGGCGAGTAGGGTGCCGTGCACAAGTCAGATGGGACCCAGTTTGCACGTGCGCACGTGCAGGCTGACGCTTCCATATCTCAAGAACGGCTGGACCGACTGTGCTCAAATTTGGCATACCACTAGAGACTGGTTAGTAGGGTGCCGTGCACAAGTCAGTAAGTATGTATTTTCATGTGCCGCGGTTAGGGTGCAGCTGCACGTGCGCACGTGTAGGGGTCGTTTCCCGATCTTGGAAACGGCTGGGCCGATTCAGATTAAATTTGGTACATCGCAAGAAACCGGCGAATAGAGTGCCGTGCACAAGTCAATTGGGGCCCAGGCTGCACGTGCGCACGTGCAGGGTATCGCTTCCAGATCTCGAAAACGGCCGGGTCGATTGCACTCAAATTTGGCACACCGCTATAGACCGGCGAATAGGGTGCCGTGCACGTCAGTCCGTAGCACACCGACTCCGGTCTGCACGTGCAAGGCTCATCCTCTCGTTTGGCGGCGGGCGTTTTTGCTGCGTTTACAAAGGTGCTTGCTCAAACAACCTGCGGTCCCGCGATGCGGAGCCCAGCATCGCAGATGCTGGTATTTTGGTGGAAACAGGCGCACTGTAGTATGTATTGGATTCTTATGACTTTGTTAAATTATTCAATAATTCGTTTAATTCATCGGTGTGTCATCTGGTACTGACGTCCTATTCTGTTCTTCGTTTCAGGATGAAATTTATTATGAACCTTTTTGATTTTGTTGATTTTCTTTGAAATAAATTACACATCTCGGTGCAACAAGTTTTGGATTTTTGCTGGCAATACATTTCATCTACAAGCAAATTATTAACGTAAAGGGAACGTAACGTAAACGAACGTAACGTAGACTATGATAATTTAACTTGAAGATACAAGAATTCGACAACACAAAGAAAACATGAAGAACGCAGAGGAGTGTGCACCAGATCTAATCCAAAAAGCTAAAAGAAGTAGAACTAATGCTAGAAGCAAATTTACAAGAAAGTGCAACGCATTTGTCGAACTAAATGAACGAGGTGAACAATTTTTAGTACTACAAGATAAGTTCAACGATATACGCGACATTTTTAAGGAATTGGATAATGCAAACGACCGACTTATTGAAACGATAAATGAAAACGCACCACATCACGTCATGGACGGCATGCTCGAAGATTGTGATTCATATATGGAAGAAGTCGACTCCGTTCTCGATCGAATGCGAGCAATATACGCCTCTTGTGTTTCCAAATCATCTTCAGAGACGTACAGATCTTCACTAATTCATGTAAAGGCTCTTGATTCACCTCGCTTCGGAGGAAACATTCGAGAATACTCAAATTTTAAGCAAGATTTCACAAGATTAATGGTAAAAACATACGGCAAGGACGCATATGCGCTCCGATCATGTTTATATGGTCCGGCTCTTCAAACCGTTAGAGGAGTCGAAGACGACTACGACAAAATGATTGAACGGTTGGACAAAGTTTTTGGAGATTCGCGAAAATTCGTCGATACCATCATTAGCGACATTAAATCAATTAAGCCCATACACGACGGCGATAGCAAGAAATTCATTTCAATGGTTGACGTTATAGAAAGATGTTGGTTGGACCTTCAGCGAATGGATATGAGTGAAGAAATGGACACTGTTGCGATGGTCAGCATGATAGAGAAATTGCTCCCTCCAGTACAAAAGCGTGAATGGATAATTCATGTGGACACGAATCGTATAAATTCCAAGGGGATGTTCGAAGAGCTTCTGCAATATCTTTTACGCGAAAAACGAGTGATCGAATACACTGAACACGACCTCCGAACCGACAAATCACGAACGCCTCATCCTGCGACTGTAAATCAAATCGATCGACCGTCTACATCACATTCATCTCATCGACCCTATAATCATTACGCACCTGTCCAGACGCAAGATAATCAAAATCATTCCAGTATCGTTTTTACATCACGTCCATGGTGCTGGTTGCATAAAACTAACGGACATTTGATTGAAAATTGTAGCGATTTTTTGAAGATGACGTTTACAGAAAAATTTGAAGCCGCACGAAAATTTGGTGCTTGTTTTAATTGCCTTCGAGCTACCAGACACATAGCTAAAAATTGTTCGGAATCAAACAAGTGTGACGTCATAGAAGCAAATCAAAGATGTGGAAGACGGCACCATCCTCTACTGCACAAAGCATATCTACCGGAACGTAAAGAACCTCAAGCCAGCCAAATTAGTAATGTACAAGTAAAAGAAAATCGTCCTTTGTTGGCAGCTACTGCGGTTCAATGTAACAAGCAGCGAGTTACTGTTATGTGGGACTCTGGAGCGAACATATCTCTTATCACCCACCAGGCAGCTGAACGACTCGGATTACAAGGCAATGAAGTCAGCCTATCCATAGTCAAGGTAGGGGGAGAACTCACGTCATATACCACCAAGGAATACAAAGCGCCTCTCGTTGATCTGGTCGGAAAGATCTGGATAGTGGATGCATACGGAATAGACGATATCACTTCAAATCTCCAGCGCGTGGACATACGGCAAGTTGAGGGCCGGTTCCCTGGTATTGATATTTCGAAATTCACCAAACCTGAAGGAAAAATCGACATGTTGATCGGCGTAGATTTTTGCACAATGATGCCGACAGTTGTAAAAACAGTTGGGAACAGTCAACTGTTAGAAAACCAATTCGGATTCTGTATAAGGGGATCGTTTGGAGCGACGACAGAAGAAACCGAACATACTAATGCGACGATCCGAATCAACTACACGAGCTTCGACCCACACCAAGACGGAATCAAGAGAGAGTCCCCAAAACACATTGTAACCGAATTAGAGAACTTCTTTGAAATTGAAAGTCTCGGTACAAGACATATACCGAAGTGTGGTGGTTGTCGATGCGGAAAATGTATAACCGGAACGCATAATTTCACTTTGAGAGAAGAACATGAGCTGCAAATGATTCGAAGTGGATTGAGATATGATAGTGAAAGCAACAAGTTCACGATTGAATATCCCTGGATCAAAGATCCGAACAATCTCCCAAATAATATAGGAGCAGCAAGAGCAAAGCTACGGTCAATGGAGAATCGATTACAAAGATTAGATCATGATTATCGTAAGGCTTACTGCGATCAAATGACAGACATGGAGAAACGCGGAGTGGCAAGGAAATTATCAAACGAAGAAATTGACAGTTATCAGGGACCGGTGCATTACATTCACCATCATGAAGTGATCAAACAAAATTCGTCGTCTACCCCAATACGTATAGTATTCAACTCATCAGCTTCGTATATGGGCCACGTGCTCAATGAATATTGGGCCAAAGGACCGGATTTTATAAACAATTTATATGGTATACTTCTGCGATTCAGGGAATATCCAGTAGCTATCACGGCAGACATCTCGAAGATGTATAACTCTATACAGCTCTCAACGCGCGATCAACATGTCCACCGATACCTCTGGCGCGATATGGATAAAAATCGAGAGCCGGATCATTATATTCTGACGGCCGTTCCATTCGGTGACCGGCCAAGTGGCACTATCGCGTTAACCGCTCTCCATACAATAGCAGAGAGGTTCAGAGGACAGTATCCAGAAGCAGCTGCCATGATCACTAGAAACAGCTATGTGGATGACTTGGTGCACTCAGTTCATAATCCAGACGAGGCTCTAGCAATCGCCTCACAGGTGCAAGATATTCTAGCAAGTGGCAACTTCATGATCAAATATTGGACAATTTCGGGGCAAATTGAATTGAATGATGCAAACATTCGTGTGTCAAACGAAAGCAATGAAAGGATACTTGGAATGTTATGGAAGCCAGCGACTGACTGGTTTGCGTTTGAAATGAAACTTAACCTTACAAAAGAAGAAAAGATCACCATCAGCTCGAATCCGTCCATGGAGGAAATATTACGCGTGATACCGCCCGTGTTGACACGAAGGATGTTGTTACGGCAGACAGCAACCATCTTTGACCCACTCGGCCTCATTGTACCCTTCACCATTCAAGGTAAAGTTTTGATGAGAAAACTTATAACCCGTCAAGTCCCAAATCAGCAGCTTGACTGGGACGAGTCCATACCAGAAGAATGCAAAGGCGAGTGGATCACTTACTTAGCGGATATGTTTAGACTGAACCGCATACATTTTACAAGATGTCTACAGCCCCCAGACGCAGACAGCGATCCAATCCTCATCATCTTTTCCGACGCCAGCTCACAGGCCTACGGAGCGTGTGCATACGCCCGATGGAAGCTTAAATCTGGACAATACAAGACCTGTTTAATAACAGCAAAAAGCAAAATATCACCTAACCGTCAGCTCAGTATTCCGAGGTTGGAGTTATGTGGAGCTGTGTTAGCCTGTCGTTTAGGTCAAACGATTTTGAAAGAAATGACTTACAAGTTTCAGGAAGTTTTATACGTGGTCGATTCAATGATTGTTCGGTCACAAATACAAAGGCAGTCATACGGATTCGGGACGTTCGTGGCAACCCGCATCGCAGAAATACAAGAGAAATCAAGTCCAACTGAATGGTGGTGGACCGGAGGTCGCAACAATCCGGCTGACCTGACGACCAGATATACCAAGCTGGAGGAGCTGGACGTGAATAGTGTGTGGCAATCAGGACCACAGTTCTTGAATTTTCCGAGAGAATCGTGGCCCATGAGCCAAAAGCTGTATGAACACGAATTGCCCGACAGTATCGTCGTCAATCTCACGACGATTGGAACCAACACTGCCAGGCACGACATTTGCAATGACATTGCAATTGAAAATTTCAGCAGCTATGATAAACTTATCAGAGTCACTGCGAGATTGTTGAGCATTGTGGAATCGGATACAAGATCCCTGAAGAGCATCGGCAAACCATTGACAGTGGAAGTTCTATCAAAGGCCGAGGAATTATGGATCAGACAAGCTCAAAGAACAATTTTGGAAAACTGGCAAGTTCGGTTTAGGAGGCTCGGTCCTAGCCTAACGGATGACGGTATCATCATTGTAGGAAGTCGCATTGCCAACTGGCTCAAGGAGAATTGGAATCGAGATTGTTACACGCTTCTACCATCAAATCACCCGTTAACACATCTGATCGTCCGCAAAATCCACTGCCGGGATCATGGCGGTATTGATAGCACGCTAGCACAGTTACAGACGAAATTCTGGGTGCCGGGAGCGAGACGAGTGATTAAAAGCATCAGGCGAGAGTGCATCGTGTGTAGAAGGCTTTTTGATAAGCCTTCACCTCAAGTGATGGGACCGGTCAATCCCAACAGACTCAAACCCAGTCCTGCATTTCACCATACAGCGCTAGACATGTTCGGCCCCTTTTTGATAAAGGATACAGTGAAAAGAAGAACAACAACCAAGACATATGGAGTGCTGTTTACGTGCCTGTCCTCAAGAGCATCGTACATAGATTTGGTAGAGGGTTACAGCACGCAGGATTTTCTCCTGACGCTTCGCCGCTTCGCAACGATTCGCGGGTATCCTGCCACCATATATTCAGATGCCGGTTCGCAACTAACGGCTGCCAGCAGGGAAATTCAAGACATGACCAATCAGTGGAATGTCAATGAGTTGGTGGATGCTGGAGTCAACCACGGCTTGACATGGAAATTTACCAAGTCGGCAGATGCCCCTTGGGAGAACGGATGCAGCGAGTCCCTCATTCGCCTTATCAAACGGGCATTGGCGATAGCAGTGGGTGATAGCAAACTGACTTTCAGTGAGCTGCAGACAGTCCTTTTCGAAGTAGCGAACATCCTGAATCAGCGACCAATTGGAAGAAAACCGGGAGCGGATCCACTCAGTGGTGCTTATCTGTCACCAAATGATCTCTTGCTTGGACGCACGGGCATCGACGCACCACAAGGGGAATGGCCTGAAACATCGAGGTTGGCAAGCCGATTCTTATTTTTGCAAAGGATCGTTACAACATTCTGGAAGAAGTGGTACCGGGATTACTTCACACAAATGATTGTTCGACAAAAATGGCACATCCAACAGCGAAATTTTCAAGTCGGAGACATCGTGATTGTCCAAGAGGACAACCCCGCGCGCGCGACTTGGAGGATGGCAGAAATAAGCAAGATCGAACCGAGTTCTGATGGATTGGTCAGGGATGTTACCCTGAGATACAAGCCACTGACAAGCGGATCAGAGTACAACGGACGGCCAGACATACTCATCAAACGATCGACACACCGCCTGATACTGATCATCGAAACAGACGAACGCACTCCGGGCGCCCCGGAGCCTCAGCGTGACCCCAGCGTGACCTCGGGACCTCATCGTGACCCCAGCGTGACCCTGGGACCTCAGCGTGGGGGGAGTGTATCGAGCGACTGATTGAGCGAACGACGACTCCTCGTTCGGCAGAGAAACGACCTGAATTTTTGTCACGAGCATCGCCAAAACTTTTCTCCCTTTCTTGTGCTCATTTATTTTCGGTCGCAACTTATATTTTGGTGGAAACAGGCGCACTGTAGTATGTATTGGATTCTTATGACTTTGTTAAATTATTCAATAATTCGTTTAATTCATCGGTGTGTCATCTGGTACTGACGTCCTATTCTGTTCTTCGTTTCAGGATGAAATTTATTATGAACCTTTTTGATTTTGTTGATTTTCTTTGAAATAAATTACACATCTCGGTGCAACAAGTTTTGGATTTTTGCTGGCAATACAGTAGGGAAAGGTGGAATGAGACGGCCTTCTCTGGTAAGACGAACCACCATCTACCAAATAGGTTTTTGAAACGCTCGCGAGATCAGTTCAATGGTAACTCCCTCCCCCCCCCCCCCCCCACACACACACACAAACGATCGAAAAGAAACTCATGTTTCTCTCGAGGCTCATTTATTTGTCCACGGCAGCAATACGCTCGATCATTTTTTTTCATTTCACGGCGCAGTTTTCGTCCTGTCTTGCCGTCAATGGCCAAAGCCAGGACGCGCCGCACACCGGCCGGATTCATGTCCGGCCACCCTCGGAGTCGAACCCGCAGCTCGGCGGCCGTCCCCTCGGTAGTGGCAGTCGCCAGGGAAGCCTCCTCGAGTTGGCGACGTAGTGCCGCCAGTTCGACCTCCCTGGAGGCCGAGAGGACCTCGGCAGCCTCCAGCTGCTGCGACATGGCGGACAGCGCCGCCGCCTCCCGGGCCAGGCGGGCCTCCAATAGGGCTTCCCGCTCGCCGGCTGCCCGCAGCCGTCTCTCTATATCGTGGACTTTCCTGGCGGACGACCGGCGCTCCCGCTGGAGTGAGCGGGTTATTCCTTGAAGGAGTTCCATGAATGCAGCCCTAGCCTCCTCCGTGAGCTCAATGAAGGGAGACGGCAGTTTTATCGCCGCCCGCAGCAGCAGGAACGGAGTGAATATCCTCCCGTTCCGTGTCCAATCTATGTACCGGGCACCGTGGTCCCGTAGAATGCGGGCACACGTATTGACGACCCTGAGGAGTGAATAAATGCACCGGCGTTAGGAGCGATCGACCAGACGGAACAAACCAGTGGTTAGATAACCGGAAATGTTCACATCGTGAAGTGGAAAAAAGTAAACATAATGAAAGAAGCGATTTAGAGGCTACGCTTTTCAAGCAAACCAAAGGTGTTCTTGGCTCTTGCGCCTGGTCACGGAAGCACCACCGTCCAAACTCGACAAGGCACGTGACGCATATTTATTTTACGGAACACTCTACATACAGTCATTTGGATACCATTTTTTTTTTTGCAACTGTATCACAATTTTGACATCCACCAGCAAGCGTGACTGCCTGGTGCGGCAGGGCGATGCAAGCGACCCGTCGGCCGGGGCCCTAACGACGTCGGCGCGTAGACCGACCATCCACTGGAAACCGATGATTCCCAGTGGATCGAGTCTGGCCAGGTTAGGGCCGAAGTAAAGAGCCCACCAGGCGGCCGCCTCAGAGACGGCCAGCGCGTAGCGCCGCCATTCGTGGATCAACTCCTGCAAACACAACGTAACTGCGGTTAGCGAAAGATGGTACGGGGCTTATCTTATATCTGTAAGAATCTTGGTCCCGAGGGTTTACATAATGATGCATACAGAAACTAATTAAAGGCATTGACGTCTGAGCTCAGATGCTAGGTCGGCGGCCGGTTCCTCGGCAGCGACAGTCGCCATGTCGACCTCTTCCAGTTGGCGACCCAGCGCCGCCAACTCGGCCTCTCTGGCGGCAGAGACGGGACGGGTGTCGGGACAGAGACGGGACGGGTGTCGGGACAGAGACGGGTGTCTGTCAACCTGTCTGTATGTTTTTTTTTTGTCTCTGTCTCGGCCTCTGTCTGCGTTCTCCCTCTCTCTCTCTCTCTCTCTCTCTCTCTCTCTCTCTCTCTCTCTCTCTCTCTCTCTCTCTCTCTCTCTCTCTCTCTCTCTCTCTCTCTCTCTCCCTCCCTCTCTCCTCTCTCCCTCTCTCCATCTCTCTCCATCTCTCTCCATCTCTCTCCCCCTCTCCCTCCCTCTCCCTCCCTCTCCCTCCCTCTCCCTCCCTCTCCCTCCCTCTCCCTCCGTCTCCCTCTCTCTCCCTCTCTCTCTCCCTCTCCCTCTCCCTCTCCCTCTCTCTCTCTCTCTCTCTCTCTCTCTCTCTCTCTCTCTCTCTCTCTCTCTCTCTCTCTCTCTCTCTCTCTCTCTCTCTCTCTCTCTCTCTCTCTCTCTCTCTCTCCCTTCCCTCCCTAACCTCGCCGCTATTGGCACGGCATCCATCCCGACCTTCGGCCCAAGTGTTGTACCGCGCGGTGATTTGTTAGGTTCTCCGATATTTCGTACCAAGAAAGGAAAGAAATGAGTCAGTGCGTGCCGAGCGCCAAAACCGTCAGGCTGGGGGACGAGAAGATATCTAAGGTATAAATCGAGTTGTTCGAGCGCGTTGAGTCAGAAGCTTAACCCGCGCCCTGCTGGGGGGGGGTGTTTGAACACCCCCCCTTGTGGTTTTTCGCGAATATCTCAAAAACGGCGGCGCGGAGCGCCGCCGTTTTTGGTACACCTTATCATACATCAATTCTACACATGTTATGAAAATTTCAGACCAAGGTCATTCAAGGTCAGGTCACCAGGTCACTTGAAGTGACCTCACCTCATAAAAAGTTTCAATGTCTGTCATAGCTACACCGAGTGACCGATCGCTTTGAAACTTTCAGCGATTGCTAAGAGCAATAGCATGTACAAAATGTATATCTCAGAATTTTGATATCGATGACCTAAGGTCAGGTCAATTTTGCGACCTCCCCATTATAAGTCAATGGGAGAAAACTGAAATGCGCCTCTTTTGGACGAAAGACATTACAAACACTCCCAAACACTGAATTACAAGTGGTTCAGACACGCTGAGCATAAAAATGTTGTCCGTGACCCCTGTTTATGCCCTGAGGTCATCTTAGGTCACGAATGGTATCTAACAGTTTTTCGCAAATAACTTTTGATAGAGGCATGCTAGAGCGATGAAAACGCCTTAGCTGTGTTCATCTCGACGATACGGATCGACTGATATGCAACATGACCCTTTCCGGTCAGGTCATGACCTTGACCTGAGGTCAAATTTTCAAGTTGACCTTTCAAGGTCAAGTCATAGTTCATTCGATGCGTCTTGACGAGAGGAACACGATGCCGCTAAAAGTAAGCTCGTACAAGGCTTGGGTCAAAAGTTATTGCAGAAAAACTGTTTCCGAAAAAATCGGCTATTTTTGCAGTTTTTGCCCCCTGCAGGCAAAACCGTTGACGTTAGGTCAAATCTGAGGGAATTACTCAGAAAGGGCGTTAATAGGGCTATCGAATGCGCTTTTCCGCGGCGCTGTAGCTCTATTGGTTCCCGAGTTATGCGTTGGCTTCTTGGAAATTGTCGACATTCGACCTGGAAATCGGCGAAATTTTGCCTTCAATGACCTCTGGTGACCTGACCTTTGACCTGACCAAAAAATTGACCGAAGTGATTTCCTCCTTATTTTTGACGCTCTTTCGAACGCCGCCTTCCGCGTATCGCTACGTGGCCCAGGAGCCGAGTTAGAAGGGGGGGGGGGGTGTTCAAACACCCCCCCCCAGCAGGGCGTGGAAATCCAGGACCCCCAGCGGGGCGCGGGTTAATATGCCGCAGTTTCTCTCAGAAACCTCCCCAAGTCATTCTTCCGTTGAGTCCTGCCAGATGGACCCTCCAAAATCGACAAGACACATGGCGCGGGTTTATTAAAAAAAAGCAGGGAACACTATCACGCACAAAAACGCACACACTTTGCAGCCGTGCTACCATTGGGGCGGGGCGCCCGTCTGGTACGGCACCGGCGGTCGCACCAGCCTCGCCAAAGGCGAGACTAACGATCCCTCGGCCGGGGCCCTCACGATGTCGGCCCCTAGGCCGACCATCCACTGGAAGCCTACGACTCCCAGTGGGTCGAGACCGGCCAGGTGGGGGCCGAAATAGAGGGCCCACCGGGCGGCCGCCTCCGACACGGCCAGCGCATAGCGCCGCCACTCGCGGATCAACTCCTGCAAACACAACGTAACTGCGGTTAGCGAAAGATGGTCTGGGGAAGAATCTTGGTCAGGGGCTTACATAACGGTACCCGCCCCGGAACGGACGGTGTCGGTGTCTGAATTATCAAACTTATCGAAGCGCAACTGATCGTGATTATGGAGTCTGGGAATGTTCCGGCTGGCTGTTGAACGGTCAGCGGCTCTAAGGGAGTCTGGGCCAGGAAAGAAATCCCTTCCAACACGTCTGTCACGAGGAATAACCAAACTACTGACCGCACTAGGGCCAGCTAAAAACACAAGAATACATTACGGCCCGGGTGAGCGCGACCATTGCGGATTGAGTGCACTCACCTCCCGGGTTAGGAGCTCCGGGTCGAATCAGAATGGCTGCGGCGACGGCGGGCCACTCGCAGAGCTGTAGCTGGGGGGGGGGGGGGAGGAGTCTTCCCTCCCAGTGCTCTGTGAATAAACCGCGGAAAATTTACCGCTTTCGTAAGACTGGGAATCCGTGACTAAATGGGAGGGCATATCGCGACTCACACACGCTCGTCAACTCAACACAAATGGATCGTCTAGAGGGATAATTCATTTAACAACTTCCGCGCAGTGCGGCGCACGTAATGGGTCATTGGGTGCACACTGCACGCCGGCCGCTGCCTCCACACACCGGCGGAGTAGTAGCGGCTGATGTGCTGGACGCGCCGCCACCTCGGCCGTCAGCCGGGCGACTTGGGCCTCAAAGTCCAGAATCTGGGCCCGAGCCTCCTCAGTCACTCAGGGCCTCAGCCTTGGTCTCGGTGGAGGTGAGGGCGAGCCTCCTTATCATCTACCTGGGCTTCCAGCGCTGTAGCGCGTGCCTGGAGAATGGCGATTTCCGCCCCCGCCCGACGCTCTGCGGCCCGCAGGGCGGCCTCTGCGTCGGCAGCGCCGAGGCGGGCTGCTATGGGCCTGGCTATTGGCCTCTCGTGCCCGTCTCCGCTCCTTTCCGATGGCCATCTCGGCCGATAGGAGACGGGCGCCCAATTCGTCGGCTCGGTCGGCGAGGCGCGCCCGAGCGGTTTCGGATAGGTCCCGAAAGGGCGGAGGTAACAGGAGGGCGGCCCGCAGTACCTCCATTGAGGCCGGCCCATCCTGTTTTGTGGCCCAGTGGGCGTATTCAGCGCCGTGCCCCCGAAGGACCGTTGCGCATATATTCACGATCCTGTAGACAGACAGACCGGCGTATGGGAGATCAGAATACAACACTAGATTTGAATCGAATACGGGATTAGAAGGGGACGTTAAATTAGAAAAAGCACAAAAAATTATTAAATTAAACAAATCACTGGAACACAACATGTGCGTGAATAAAGTGACGCAGGAAGGAGGAGGCAGTAAAACAGCACTAATCATGACTTACCTCGACAAGAATTCGTCGCCCGTGTGCCGGTCCGGATGCACATGACCTTGTAAGCGCCGGACAAGCCTTGCCAGATTGGTCCGGAATTCCGGGCTTGAGTTCACTGCGCCTATGTCAATACCGAGAACCAATTCCGGCAGCCACCGTAGCGGGTCCTGCTCGTGGCAGAGGACGGCAAGGTCCAGCACAGGCGGGGCGGCGGGAGCTTCTCCGGCGGGGACTGACTCAGCCATCGCAGAATGGAATGGTACAAATGATGTGGCCGACCCGAGAGATTCTTATCATTCATCCGTTTCAGAGAGATTCTCACCCGGACGAAACCATTGGTAGACGTGACCGAGCGGGCCCGGTATTGGTCCCGGGAGGGCGGCGCGGAAGGCGCCCACCAATGAGGGGCGAGCGGGTTCCGGGTGCCGCCCCAGGGAACCCTCTGAATAGTTAATCACCCGGGCGGGTTTGAAAAAACGACGTAGCGGCTACGCTAAGTCGTGTAAGGGAATTAACCCTCGCATGTGTGCGGCGTTTGCCAGCTTCTAATGTGTAGGGGGGGGGGGGTCGGTTGGACCCCCCCCCCCTTGCCGTTTGGCCCCTGATCGAGCTAGAGCTTCGCGGAAAAAACGAGCGTGTTGCCCGTGACGAGAGGAAGCCGATGATACCCAATTTTAAGGTCCTAGGTCATTGGTTGACCTTCCAGGTCAGGTCAATGACCCAAAGTCGGGAAAATCGGGACCTGTTAGAAAGTCGTAAAGTGTGCCTGCTAAGGGGTTTTTCGGGGTGCTGATCACGAATATCGTGTTAGTTTTGATCACAGATGATGTCTTGAAGCATTTAGACCAGGTCGGGTCAGGTCAGGTCAGGTCAACCAGTAGGCGTCGTGACGGGTATTCGTAGTACGTGTCAACCGCCTCTGACAGCTTCGTAACATGTTACGAAGTCACCAAAAGTACTTCGTAAATGTTCAAATGGTTGCTAAATTCGAATTCAGCTCCAAAAACTAGCCTAGAAACATGTAAAACTCGAAAAAGTGACCCGAGGTCACCCGAGGTCACCAAAGGTCAATGACCTGACCTGACCTTCAGGTGACCTTGACACACACGGGAGTAACATCAAATCACATGTTTGAACGTTTGAAACCACGAAAAGCTTGCAAACACGCGGCTAGTGCGAGCCGACATACGCGAAATCGCGATTCCGGCCAAACATGGTCTCGGAAAAGAGGTCACAGGTCAAAGGTCATTTGGGTCAGGGTCATGAAATTTTCAGGGTAGGTGTAAAATTGATCAATGCGAGGGTACTGAAAGTTTCGTCGCGATCGGCCGCTTTTTACGCGAGTTATTCGCGAAAAACCATGGGGGGGTCCATCCGACCCCCCCCCCCCCCCTACACATGCGAGGGTTAACCCTCGCCGGCCGAGGGGGGGGGGGCGGGCCCATAGGTTTTTTTTCCACGATAGCTCCGAACACACTGGAGATAGAGAGCTGAAACTTGGCATACCTGACCTTTGATTCAAGCCAGATCTTTTGACATCAACCGCAGTTTTGGGTCAGGTCAGGTCACTGACCTATGACGTCATAAATGAACCTCTGCACGGTCTTCAGATGTCGCAACTTCGCAACGCCCTCACTGCCAGAGGAGATGTCACAGGGAAATGAAACTTGCAGGATCCTGTATCCGTTATGAGTCTCACAATTTGTATCTCTCTGATTTTTCCTAAAGGTCATATGAGGTCAGGTCATTTTCGTGACCTCACCATTACCTATAGGTAAGTCAATGGGGAAAAATGAAAACTGCTATTCTGGCGCCGGGAAGATCTCCAACTATCTCAAGCACACAGAATCGTGATTTGATGCACTCCTTGTAAGGTCAGATGCGTCACTTTTGCAATGTTGACCTTGCGTGACGTCATTTATGACGTCATCAAGGTCAAATTAGTTTTTCGTCAATAACTCTTGATCAAATTGAGCTAGCGAGTCGCGGAAGCCACCAATGGACTCAGGAAGACCTGCCGAATCGAATGATATGCGACATGACCTCTTTCGACCAACTTCGTGACCTGGGGGTGCTGACCTGACCTTGACCTGAGGTCAACACCCCAAGTTGACCTGACCCGAACAAAAAGTATATCGTTCGACGCGCCTGAGCAAGGCGAACACGATGCTGCCAAAATCGCGGCTCTACGGCCGTTTTTTGCGAAGTTATTCAACAAAAACTGAACCGTACCTTGGGGCACTTGACCTGACCTCAGAGGTCACCGGTTGACCTAGGACCTTAACATCGGGTACCAATCTCTGCGTCTCGTAACGGCGCACACGCTCGTTTTTCCGTGACGCGCTAGCTCCACCAGGGGCGAAACGGCGAGGGGGGTCGTACCCGCCCCCCCCCCCTCGGCCTGTATGTAGAAAACCAATAGGTCCGGCGAGGGTTAAACGTCATTTTCTCAACCTCTCTGACCTGACCTGGTATCAGTGTCCTCGAATAGCAAAATATGTGTTTTATGGACAATCAGACACCGCCGTTTTGAACTTGGCGCATCATGACGCTCCGCCTGCGCACCTTTCCACTCACATCTCGTGTTTTGTCCATGTGTCCCGTGTTGGCAATTGTGCTGGCTTGTTTTGTGTCTGGGCTGCTCGGCAGGTTCTGCTGCCGAGTCCTGTCGCAGATGGTCGGTGGACGATCAGCGTGGGAAAGGCTGTGAAGCATTAGCAGCGTGGAGCCGAACAGCTTAGTTCCACCTCGACTTCCATCTGCATGCATATCAGAAGATGATGATGAGAAAGGATGATGGTAGGTATAAGTCACGGTGAGGGGTGCCAAATCGCTACCTTCATTTGCTTATTAGGCGTTTTTTTACGATAATATACCATCCTCGACTCGACATTTATGAGCCTCCTGACAGGTATGGTTGCGGTTGGTGGCAGGCCGTAGCCAGGCGAAGTCAGCGAGGGGACCGGCCGTGCGCGGCTTTGTGCGCACGTTAAACTTTGGACTCTAAATTCTGCCATAGAATCGGAATTGCGCGATCGGAGGGTAGAGGGCAGGGTCATCGCAACAAGCTTCGCTTAGCGGTGGCTCTGTCCTTGTGATTCCTTCCCATCAAAAGGTTCGGACTAAATTATTTAAAAAAATCCTACTCCAATTTTCAAGGTTTGTTGCTGTGAATATTAAATGACATTTTTCTATCATTCATGTCACGACCAGCTGTCTCCATTCTCCAGCCGTTGAAAACGAATGCCCCTTGTGCCCCCAGAGATCCCTGAGCTGAAGTGTCCAGCTCGGCCGGCCCAGAGCGGGTGTAGTGCTGCCACCTGTACAGTACGATCAGCGCTGGCAGCGTCACCTGTGAACCGATACTGGAACCAGACCGGACCGGAGAGCTTCCTGTGGCACAGGGGCCGGGGCCGGGCCCGGCGCGGCGCGGCGGTACACCAGGATGATGCTGTACCGCATTGCGCGCTTCGATTGGGCATTCGGTGTGTGCTTTCGGTGTGTGCTTCGGTTATTTTATATGGTGATGGTGAAACATCATATTGTAAGTTCTATACAACCTACGGGCTTCAGCTGTAGGTATGTGCTTAGGAACCTATTTTGTTAGTACCTAAATGCCAATAAAATGTTATTTGTGTTTATCGTATGTCGCTGTGAAAAGGGTTATTGGGGATTGAAATGAAAGAGAATTGCGTTTTAAATTATCAAGTGGGCACCCATGTACCTTTTAACTAATCTCACAGCAATGTGATTGTAGTAAGCCAACACAGATACACTAGGTACCTATGGTAAAGACTTATCATAAGATGACTTAGTTAGGTATGCAGGCTGCAGATGTTGTCACTTGTCTCCTAATCATCTTTAACCCGCGCCCCACTGGGGTCTGCGTATAACACGCCCTACTGGGGGGGGGGGGGCTATTCATAGCCCCCCCTCCTAACTCCGACACTACTGGGCCGATCGTCAAAATTCAAACGGCGTCTGATAGCCCCGGAAAAACTGTCGAGCGAAACCTAATTTCATTGACCTCGAGGTCACCGATGACGTCACAGGTCAGGTCAAAGTAAAAATTATCAGCATTTTGGCTTGATCACGTTTTAGGCTCTGGCCGCCGTCTTACAAGTCAGACCAGGCTCATGTTTGGATCACACACTCGGGAACAGATGCTCTAGTTACCCTGAGGGTACCAAACTTGTACTTTGATTTTCAGGTCAAGGTCAGGTCATCACAGGTCACGAAAATATTATATCATGCGTCGGTCACGTGACACATGTTTCATGGTCCACTTAGGTCAGAGATTTCGAATGTAATGTCGTCTGTGTTATTCGAGGTCATTTTGAGTCGAATTTAGCTTATGTTAGGTCACTTTCAGGCCAAATAAAGGTCAAATTTTGAAGTTAAAATTTTTTAACAAAAAAGGTGTCTATTGGATGCAGTTTGAGCTCAGGAACACGATGCTGTTATTTATATTGGCGTACGATGTCAAATACGTGCTGAAAAATTGATTTGAAGAATTAATAATTGTGAATTTTTTGCAATAATGCGTAAAACTTGGCCATTTTTGAAGATATTTAGCTAAAACTTGCTAAAGTTAGTCATAATAATGCGTTCTATCACATATATTCCGTTTTTTTCGAAAAGTCAAAAACTTTTTGAAAAAAAATGTAAAAATGTAAATTTTGGATATTATTGCATAAAATTTTCGAAATTTTCAGAATTTTGAACATCCGAGAAAGCAGTTTGATAGCGCAGTCTATTCTGAGTACTCTCATGCAAAGAAATTGGATCTAGCTTAAAAACTAAGCTCTTGGGAGCGATTGCCGTGGTTAATGTTTTGCGTCGAAATCGGCCGAACATGACGTCACTCTGACGTCATTTCCGGCCGACCTATAGTAGGTACGAAGCTCAAATTTTGACACAAGGTGTCAAATTGATGCAGCCTAAGGTACTGAAAGTTTGGCGTCGATACGTCAAGCAGTTTGGAAGTTATTGCAGAAAAACGGGAGGGGGGCTATAAATAGCCCCCCCCCAGTGGGGCGCGGGTTAACACGCGCACCGACGGGGGGGCGGATATCCGCCCCCCTGAGGTTTTTCGCGAATAGCGGGAAAACTACGGCCGCGAAATTTGGTACTTACGACTATTCTCTCATCAATTTTACACATGGTTTGCAAGTTTGAACCTCCTAACTTTTAAGGTCAGGTCACCAGGTCACTTTGAATGACCCAACCTCAAGTCACTTTTTTGCAACTTTGCCACCGTGCCAGAGCTACAGTAGATGTCGGAGGCCTTTGAAAGTCACAGGATATTATAAGGTCATTAGTAGCTAAAATTTGTATATCTCGGAATATTGATACCGGTGACCTAAGGCCAGGTCAGTTTCTCGACCTACCCATTACAAGTCAACGGGGGAAAATCAACTCCCTGTTTTTACCACTAAAACGGGTCGGGATGGCCCCATATACCATACATGACTTCATATACGATCAACCTTCACTACCTTGAGGTCTGTTTTGCTGTTGGGCAGCTGTAAGGCCATGTGACGTCATCAAAGGTCACCAAAGGTTTTTTTGTCAATAACTCTGTACAGGAACAAGATACAGCCGCGCGGATGGTCTCATTGTGTTCAGCTCGTCAAGACGCATCGAAATATTATACATAATGACCTCGAGGTCACGTGACCTGAGGTCAACCTTTGACCTTAACCTTTTGAGGTCAACATATATACCATTCGATGCGGATTGACGAGAGGATCACGATGATGCCCTTAGTTTGTTCCTATCTTGACTAATTAGAAAGTTATTCGAGAAAAACTCTCTCCATAACTAGCGCCGCCATTTTGATTTTTTGACCCCTGTGACGTCATCTTTGATCTGACCTAAAAATGACCTGTGTAAAAATTGTAGACCTTGTCCGTGCGTATCCGATGCCGTTTACCGCTTGTCGCTATCTTGCCTCGTTCTCGAGATCTCAGGGGGGGGGGGGTGGTCATCCGCCCCCCCCCCCCGTCGGTACTAAGTTGCCGCAGACCCCCGTCGGTGCGCGTGTTAATCTTTTGGCGTTCCTCGACATGATGTTTTATGCTGTCATTTGTGGCTTCACAATGATTGTGACCACATTTCCCGTGCGTATAGTCGACTACAGAATGATGTTCCACTTTTCACAGGCAATTATTTGCCTGGATTAGTAGGCTGTGCCGCATCACACGGGCTGAGTTCACAAATTATAGCTTTGTCTCAATGCTCACAATCGACACGCTTAATTGCGTGACAAACGGCACAACTTATACGCTCCGGTCAACTGATAGCTTCTGAGGAGTGGAACATCATTCTGTAGTCGACTATACGTAGTGCGTAGGTACGCAGAAAAAAGTTGACTATTCAATCTTGTCAGAAGGAACAGAATACTCGTAAAAAACGAGCTTGCTTATCCATTTCTAGTATCTGAGACGTAAATAAATGACTTATCAAACTATAAGTCGAACGCAGTATCTACTAACCCGCATCCCGTTGGGGTCTGCCGAGCAGCGGGAGAGGGGGACATTTTGCCCCCCCCCCCCCGCCCTAAAATCTCGAGAACCACGCAACATGGCACAAGCAGCAAACGACCCAATTTCATTGACCTCGGTCTAACCGATGACGTCAGAGGTTAGGTCAAATGTCGCATTCTCACAGTTTACAGGCATTTCAAAAAATGTGTTATTAACTTATAAAATCGAGTAAAAGGGCATATTGTTGAAAGTCGTCGATACAAAATTGTCCAACAAACACATTATTTCCTATTTGAGGTCATTTATCCCTCGCCGGCCGAGGGGGGGGGGGGCGGGTGCTGCCCCCATAGGTTTTTTTTCGCGATAGCTCCGAACACGCTGGCGATAGAGAGCTGAAGCTCTTGGCATACCTGACCTTTGATTCAAGCCGAATCTTTTGACACCAACCGAATTTTCGGGTCATGTCAGGTCACTGATCTATGACGTCATAAATGAGCCTCTGCACGGTCTCCAGATGTCGCAACTTCGCAACGCCTTCACTGCCAGAGGAGCTTTCACAGGGAAATGAAACTTGCAGGATCTAGTATCCATTACGAGTCTCACAACTTGTATATCTCAGATTTTTCCTAAAGGTCATATGAGGTCAGGTCATTTTCGTGACCTCACCATTATACCTAAGCCAATGCACAGTGGGGATTTTTCCGATCTAGCACGTATTTATTCGTAGAGGGCAAACCATAGGTAGAATTGTAGCCAGATTGTGCACAGATGTTGGCTGGTGTGTCCTGGTGAGAATTTTACCTGTAAATGTGCATAATCAACATAGTATAGGGGGTTCAATTGGACCCCCCGCTCAGCCGTTTGGCCCCTGATCAGGCTAGAGCTTCGCGGAAAAGTCAAGCGTGCTGCCTATGACGAAATTAGGCCGAATATATCCAATTTCAAAGTCCAAGGTCATAAGCTTACTTTCCAAGTCAGTTTAATGACCCAACTAAAGTTGGGCAATCGAGACCTCTTGAAACTTCGCAAAGTTAGGGTGTTACGGGGTATTTTGGGGTGCTGATCACGAATTTCATGTTAGTTTTGATCACAGACGATGTCTTTATGCATTTAGGCCAGGTCGGGTCAGGTCAGCTTAGATCAATTAGTAGGCGTCCTGCCGGCCATCAATAGAAGTGTCACCTACTACTGATAGCTTCGTAACATGGAACGAAGGCACTAGAACTACTTCGTAAATATTCAAATGGCTGCTAAAATCGAAATCAGCACCAAAAACTACCCTAGAAACAAGTAAAACTCGAAAAAGTGAACCAAGGTCATCAAAAGGTCAATGACCTTGACTTGACCTTCACGTGACCTTGACTCCCACCATTATGCATGGCACCAACATCATTTCACATATTTGAACGTTTAAAACCACAAAAAGACTGGAAACCGCGGATAATGTGAGCTGGCATACGCCGAATCGCGATTCCGGCCAAACATTGCCTCGAGAAATATGCCACAGGTCAAAGGTCAGTTGGGTCAGAGTCATGAAATTTTTAGGTTAGATGTAAAATTGATGATCTCGAGGGCACCGAAAGTTTCAGCGCGATCGGCCGCTTTTTGCGCGAGTAATTTGCGGAAAACCATGGGGTTTTATCCGACCCCTTCCCCCTCCCCCTCCCCACAAGTGCGATGGTTAATAAGGTTACGGTATGTATTTTACGCTTGTCATCCTATTCATAATGAATGTGTCTCAGAAAATATGCATCATATAAATCACGAAGTAAAATTATTCGCCTATGTCCGGAACATACCTTTATCGTGCTGTTTGCCCTAGCGCTCCTCGAGTGGGGTGTTAAGATACTCTAATGTGAATATTCCGTGTTCAGGCAAGTTTCGGCAGCCAAACTAGGCGTTGTATTGTGCAGAAGAAAGTGGCGAATTCGATAGGATATATTTCGGAGTGGAAAAGTGTGGAGAACATTGTTGATTTCCTACATTTATTTAGAATACCATTCCTTCAATATGGTGTCTGTAAGGGTTTTTTGTAAAGGGCATTTTTGTGACCTTAGTAAGGTTGTGGCATACTTTCTGTTTGCCATTCCATTCCTAATAAAGGTGCCTTTCAGACGATATGCAACTTTAAGACCTCGCAAGATTAAAACC